TTTTTTGCTTACTGACAGGAAAAGAAGCAAAGTGACAAGAGCATGACTCGTAAAGATGGTGGTCAGCCAGAAAGATTCCAGCGTGGTTCTGGGGCAGGGTTTCGGGTACTGGAACTGAGGGGCCCGGTTGCCGAAGACCAATAACCACCCCCAATGGCCGTCCATCGGTGGTCACGCTGTGTACCAACGGTATTTTAAAGTAGTTTGGGGGCGGTAAAACGGTTGTGTGAAATGGATAGATACCTGAGGTCCTTCTCGGAATCTTTACTCTCTTCGTGCGCCGTCTTGTCAGGACTGATCTAGGCGCATCCAGTACAATGGAGTCATGGTCTTCAACTATCTATTATTATCAACCTTCTCGAGTCGATCCGTCTCCCCTCCCTGGACGCTATTTATGATGTCGCGCGTTTAATGACAGGAGCACAGTGATTCTCTCTGTGGGATAAACGCAAGGTGACTGCGGCACCGAGGATCTCTCGCGTTACGATTCCTGAACGGGACAAGAGTCAGAGAGAAGGATGCATTCATGCATCGATGGGACGGGCGAAAAACGCCCCAAACTGTCAGCCACTGAGAGAGAATGATGGGCATCTGATCCTGCCCTTTCCAGTTATCCCCTGCAGACGGCTCCATCACCGCCGATACCTGGAATTGGTTCGCTTGCTATTACGATGGGGGAAATGAACGCTGATGGGTTCGATAAGGCTTCCTTTCCCCACGAGTCTGTCGCGGTTGTGGGTACGACGGACTGGTCGTGCATGGACTAATGCATTTTTGGCTTTCTTAGCAGCACTGCCTGGGGGTACTGGCGCTGAGGCTGACTTGGCCTTTGGTTGCACTTCGCGCAAAAATCTCCCTTCATTCCAAATGATCCCTGACTTGTTCTTTTCTTTTCTTTTTTTTTTCTCCGTTCGGTTGCCTTCATCCATACGTCTTTGGAGGATTCGCGACCAGCAACTGCACTGCATACTCTGTATTGACAATATGCACGTGGAAAACGCGGCTTTTGAAAGCCAAAACCGTCGTGGACGACAGCAGATCCTGGAATGGAATCTTCCGAAGTCCCTTCCTAAATTCATTCCAGACTGACAGCGCGTGAGGCTCTCTTAGGCTGGAGCATTTGTATCCAATCATTTACCCCAATGGCAAGCATTCGGAGCTATCATCATGGCGGTTCCTCCACCCCTAATCGTGAACCACGAGGGCACCCACCCTTGTAGCCAAACAGCCACTTGTCCGACTCCCGTCGGATTCGCTGCAAAAGTAATTAAACGAAAAAAAATTGCTGAAAAAGGGGGGAGGAAAAATGCTACGACTGGTCCATTAGAGTAGCCCCGGTCTGCGCCAAATGATCATTCCCGACCGCTGCAGGGGCGGCGCTTCCCATCAATGTCGGAGTACGTATTTCCACTCGATGACGATCACTCTTTTTGGACGGTTTGGTTTTCAGAGGATTTGCGGCTCTACAGCAGCCATTCAGGATCGCCGATCGCCATCTATTTTCTCAGCTTGGTTCTGGCTTTGCCCGGCTTGATGGGCACCCAAGGTGAAGACACATGCTGTTCGAGGTTCTCAGCTGGAAATAAAAATTCGTGATCGCCCAGAATTATGACGCTTGGTGTTTTTTTTTCTTCTCGATCAACTCCCTCCATCTATCTGTTTTCCCAGAAAGAAAGGATTGCTGGAACTCGTGGACGATGGACGACCCCAACTCTTTTACCGACCCTCAACATTCCACCACCCAGGACTACGAGCTCTTCCCAGACCCAGACTCATTTGCTGATCCTGTGTTTTGTCAACGCACTGCCGAGATCGAACGCCAGATATCCCATGTTGACCTCACCATGAAGAATTCGTGGCTTCCCTCGTCCATGCCTCTATCGACCCCAGGCGTGCACCTAAATCCAACTAGTTCACCTTACAGCATGGAGGCCCGAGCCTATCCTATGGTGTCCGACGTCTCCCCATCCTTTGGTAGTGGCTATTCATCCACCGAAGCTGAAACCCCTCCAACCAATAATTGGGGAAACATGGGATGCTATATGTCCCCGCCGGCCAGCTGCGCGGACTCAGTGCTGCCGCCACTCGATCACTGGGGCTCTTGCTCCCCGGGGCCTTCTGTGAATGTCGAGCCCTCAGTCGCTCCATCTCAGATTGTGCAGAACTATCCTATGCCCATACCGATCGCTGAACTCGAACTCGAGCCTCAACTTGATCCTGAACTCGATGCTCAACTCGACGCGGAACGCATACCAGGCAATGAGTTAATCCCTATGCATAGCCATGACATGCACCAACACAGCCAACTAGACCATGCCAGCGACACACTCAGCTATCTCGGCGCAGGACAAGCCCCTGGCCAGGACTCATTTGTCTCGCCTAGTCCCCCACGTGTGCCGGCAAACCAACACGCTGGTCAGAGAGAGGCGACGCGTTACAATAACCGCAGCCAGAAGGGTTCCCGGAAGAGAGAACCTGTTACTTCCAATTCTGCCCGCGTTTGTCGGACGTCCGCCAAAGCAAAGACCAAAAAAGGCACACGGCCCCGTCGTACCTTTATTTGCACCTTCTCCCGCTATGGATGCACTAGCTCCTTTGCCTCTAAGAATGAGTGGAAGCGACATGTAACATCACAGCATGTCCAGCTAGGATTCTATCGCTGTGATGTGGGCCAGTGCAATATTAACAATGCGAGCAGAGCCAGACCCATGAGCTGCACCAACGATTTCAACCGCAAAGATCTTTTCACCCAGCACCACCGTCGGATGCACGCACCCTGGGCCAAGTCCAACCAAGCCACCGAAGAGGAGAAACAACAATTTGATGCGGACCTCGAGGCGGTGCGCATTCGATGTTGGCATGAACAACGCCGAGCGCCCCCTCGCAGCGCATGTGGCTTTTGCGGAGAGGAGTTCGCTGGCTTTCAAAGTTGGAATCTGCGGATGGAGCATGTCGGTCGCCACTACGAGCAGGGCGATGTCGCTCTGGACTCGGAGAAAGAGGACATTGCCCTTCGCGACTGGGCTATCCAGGAAGGAATCTTGTCCTGGGGTGGCGGCAGGTGGAAACTGGCCTCTCGCCGTTAGAAGTAATGAGCCTTTCTTTTGATTTTCGTTGCATTGTCTGCATTCATGGCTAAGCTCTTTTCTTGCATCACGTTTTCACTTTAATCCTATAATAGCGCACGGCGGTGCATTGGCATGATTGATGACATATATCCTGTATTTGATAGGTCTTGCTTGGTGTGTTTGATGTAGCCTTTTTTGTTGCCTCTGTTGATTTTGACACCCCATATGCTATTTCGCAACATACCCATGAGCACTTCGGATTTAATGGATTTACCTGGAATTTCAAGATTGCGCGCAGACGAGTACATAGAGATCTAGATTGCACCTAGCGTTGAGCGAATCTATGGGTCGTTGGATTATGATCTAATCGAGCGTCCTCCTATTGGTATCTATGTTTATTATTGTAATCTAACCAGATGTTCCCCGAACATGAGCTAAGGAAGTGGAGGTCAGCATCTTGACTCCACGATGGAGAACGCGTGTAAACCTAGAATGTGCAAAGTTACTAACGATCAGTTATGCTATATCGTATCATATCGTTAAATACACCCAAAGCTATGCCACCCCCACTATCCTCTTCCGTTCCCATTTCCCACCAGTCCATTCTCGTTATACTCATATCTCACCTCCTGATCCTAACTCACAGTTAGCAGATACCCTCAAGGAAGCCCATTCCGAAACCCTAACTGGACTTACCCAATACTTATTAAATCCAACGCCCTCACAAACATCCGCATAGCCCAGAATCATCGGCGGTGCCCCAGTAGTCATACTCCTCTTCAGCGCCTCCAGCGTCTCGCGAATACTTTTCAGCTTGGCCGCTACAAGCGTCCACGGATACGCAACCGCCGAAAACCCGAGCTCAGCCAGATCCTTGGCTGACAGGTTCTCCGTCAGCCCGCCCTCAATAATATTCGCAAAGACAGGCAGTTGTAGTTCCTGCACACATTTCTGCATCGCCTCACGATCGGGCAATGCCTCGACAAAGACAGCGTCTACACCGATGCGCTTGAACTCCTTCGCCCGGGTCATAGCCTCCTCCCACCCGTGGATTAAGGCGTCAGTACGCGCCAGAACGAAGATATCTTGGCCGTTGTTCCGGGCATCAACGGCCGCTTGGATCCGGGCGTACGCTTCGCCTCTCGATACGACGGACTTGCCTTTGGTGTGGCCGCATCCTACGCATCTTGTTAGTCTCTGGATCTATGTCCACGTCGCCCCATCCGCCACAACAAACAAAAAGAGTAAGGGAAAAGGGAAAAGGAAAAGAAACGGGAGACATACGTTTCGGCCACGTCTGATCTTCGATCATCACGCCGGCCGCACCAGCAGCCGCAAAGCTCTCCACCGTCCTCTTGACATTCATGGGACTTCCGTACCCTGTATCCCCATCTGCCATAACAGGAATGTCCGTCGCGCGCACGGCCTCCTGGATCTTGTCACACATCTCTGCCATGGCAATGTACCCCGTATCCGGGAGTCCATAGGAACTGGCCACGGCGTAACCAGCCAAGAAGACAATAGGGAAGCCGGCTTCCTGCACGAGGCGCGAGGAAAGGCCATCGTAGGAGCAGGCGTGGGCGATAATCTTCGTGGGGTCGGCGTGCGCTTCAAGCATCATGGTTCGGAGGGTGGAGGCTTGGATGGAGGGAATTTTGCCGCGGACATTCTTGAGGGTCAGGGTCTGGTCTCTGGCGGCATCTTTGCTTGGGGGTTGGTTTGTTGGGCTGGTGGTGAATGTGAAGGGGTAGGGGGTCGTTTGGCTGAGAGTCATTTTGAACAAGTGGATGATGTGGAATTGGTCAGTGGAATGATATGTTATTTGAATTCTGTGATGATGTATTGAGACCAACGATAGGTGATTGTGGACGTTATATAGCCGTTGTTTTCATGGTGATAGGTGTATAGTTCGGGCGGATATTTCGACTGCGGATATTGCCAATTATCCGCGCTGGGGCGGGACACCCGGTATAGGGGGATGCTATAACCCTACCCCGTGGGGAAGGGAGGTCAATGCGGGGGAAGTTCACCTGAAACAGATATAAATATGGTATACTTGTTTGTTGGACATGGGGCTGTGGGGTTTAACTGAGTCGTGATATCACTATTGCCATTTCGTGTCTACGTCAGATTCGAACTGAGAACTAGCCACTCGAACTTGATCAACAATGAGCGAAAACGAAGTCAAGGAGTCTGAGGCTATTCATCTGGAGCAAGCACAATGTCAAGATGCAAAAGACGCTCAGCACGTTCATGTGCGGTCTGCGGACCAGGCATCCATTCGCCGAAAGGTATGTATTATACTAAAGTAAGGAGCTTAGTGCTGACTCGGACAGTTTGATCGTCGCGTTTTGCCAATAGTCTGCATACTGTACATATTGTCTTATCTAGACAGAGGTACAGTGTGCTCTTGCCTCGCATTGCTAGTATAACTTCTCAGACTAATGCGCACAGGAAACATCGGAAACGCCAAGACAGCGGGTATAGACACGGCACTTGGTCTCGACGATAAACAATGGTCCTGGGTGCTGTACTCATTCTACATATGCTACATTCTATTTGAGTGGACTACAGTCCTGTGGAAGATTCTACCCGCTCACATTTATGTCGCTATTCTTTGTATCTGGTAAGTTTGCTAGCCTTGAGACTAGTGCACTGATCAACGCTGAACCGACACAGTTGGGGAGCAGCCGCGATGTGCAGTGGTGCAGTGACGAATTTAGCTGAGCTGATTGTCTGCCGCTGTCTATTGGGTATATTCGAAGCTGCGTTTGGGGCAGGTGCACCCTACTTTCTATCGTTATTCTACCAGAGAGGAGAACTTGGATTCCGTGTCTCCATGCTGCTGGGAATGTCTCCTGTGGCAAATTGCTTCGCGAGTGCGCTTGCCTTTGGCATCACTCATATCCGTAATTCTATTGCGCCGTGGCGTCTTCTATTTATCATTGGTATGGCCCTAGATACCCCAAACAATGAATAAAAAGCTCCTGATTGACACGAGACTGACACGTTCTATAGAAGGAGCACCAACAGTTCTCTTCTCCATCATTGTCTTCTTCTTCCTCCCCGACTCTCCAGGAACCGCCAAATGCCTTACCGAAACCGAACAAACCCAAGCTGTTGAACGACTGCAAACCGTCGACCAGACTGCTAAAAACCGGATGGAATGGAAACAAGTCCTCCAAGGACTAGCAGACTATAAAAACTATGTCCACATGACAATCCACTTCTGCTGCAACTACTCCTTTGCGGGACTCTCCAACTTCCTTCCCACCATTATCAAAGAAATGGGCTACACCTCCGTCAACGCACAGGGACTCTCAGCGCCTCCATACTTCGCATCATTCCTCCTCTGCATCGTGGCTGCCATTATATCTGATAGATGGGGATATAGAGGATTAGTGATCACTGTGTCTGCCATGGTCGGTATGGTAGGATACCTCATCCTCGCCGCGGTGGAGGATGAACATAAAACTGGGTTGAGATATTTTGGAGTGTGGCTGGCGACCTGCGGAGTGTTTCCCGCGCTTTCGATTAATATCACTTGGCTGTTGAACAACCAGGGAGGGGATTCAAAGAAGGGGGCTGGCATGGCTATCTTAGCGGTTTTCGGTCAGTGTTCGAGTTTTGTGAGCAGCTCGGCCTTTCCGGATTCTGAAGGGTGAGTTTCTCTCTATTTTCTTAATCTTTCTCCCGTTCTTTATCTTTCTCTCTTGTCTTTTCTTCTTTTGAACGTGGTTTCGCTTGGTGAAATGATAAAAGCTAATAAACAATCTCAGACCATTCTATGTTAGAGGATGTGCCATTGGATGCGCATTGACCGGTCTGATCGCAGTGCTGGCGTTAGGGCTGTATCTGAAATTGAGCCATGAGAACAGGCGACGTGACAGAGTGTATGGGACGGTGGACCCGGATGTGCGAGTAGATGTTACGAGGGAGGGAGACAATCACCCACATTTTCGGTACTTGACCTAGGGTAGTCTCGCTGATATGCATGACGATGTGGACTTAGTAGCATGCAGGTAATACATTTCAACTGCCGGTTCCCCACCCGTAACCGTAAGTAGTTAGTGACGCTGCAGATGAATTAGGGTTGACTTAAAATAATCAGAAGGCTATTTAAAACTCTCCGCATGTACTTTTCCCCACATAAATTAACATCTTCTTCCGACGCAACTGCATGCATGCAGCCATGCAACGTCCGCCACGCAGTCGAGCTGTCACCGACTATACTTACCGTCGTACATATAAGGCATGCATCCCTTGCCGAGAAAGGAAAGCGAAATGTGAGCTTGGGGAAGAAAGTGTGGCACCATGTTCTCGGTGTAAGAAGATGAACCTGGACTGTCGGTTTACGGAGAAAAGGCCATGGGCGAGAGAGAATCTTGGTATGGTGCTTTATCTTTCGTCTTTTATCCGTGTCATGCGCCAATCTTAACCTGCCAAGTCTCCAATATGCCAAGAGTGACTCGTTCGAGGACTGCTCGCAATGGTACGCAAGAAGTTCAACGGAACTCATCGCAGGAAGGTGTGTTTCTGCTGCCCACTATCATACACAACAGGTCTGATTGTTACCTTGTAGGAGAAGGAGAGATATGGTCAGATACCAATAGGAATGCTGTAAAGGCTTTAGAGCACCTGGTTCCCTCTGGAAATGACCCATTCGATCTCTTTTTACAGGGGGACATACCAAACCCCTTTCCATTTACATCACTAACTCCCACAGAAAATAGTACTACTAGTGAAGGGCGAGGACCCATTCATGCAGATGTACTGAGAATATGGAACGCTTGTCGGTTCGTTAGGATGGGATGGATCAAGGCTCGTGAAGCAGTCATTCTCGTTGAGCTGTAGGTTTACGGATCTCTAGGATCCATACAGCCAATTATATGGGCCAGACCTTTAACGGATACAGATTCTTCCAGAATATGTTCCCTCTGTCGCCCATTCTAACCGACTTCTACAATATACCCGAAAACCACTACTGGCTTGTGACTCAGGAACCCATGCTTTGCTGCACTATATTAATGATCTCGTCAAGATACCATGTTCTACCTGGATTCGGTGGTACCTCCCGAGCATACTCCATTCACAATCGACTATGGCAGCACTACCAGCATCTCCTCCTCCGCATCATGCTAGGTCAGGAGAAGCTCTCAAAGGCAAAGACAAGACATGTTGGTTCGATCGAAGCACTTCTCCTCATGTGTGAATGGTATCCACGGGCACTCAACTTTCCCTTGGAGAATGATGGATGGGACTCAGATCTGATTCTTACAGAGCCAGACCTCAGAGATCCTCCGGCGTCAGCGGAAGAGATACCCATGTCTGATCGCTGGAAGGAAGATGTCGTTGAACCTACTAGACGGTCTGACCGGATGTCGTGGATGCTAGTGAGCACTGCGCTGGCATTGGCTCATGAGCTAGGTATTTTTAGGAGTGACAGTGGGAAGAGGAAAGATGAGTATGATGTGACTGGTATGCGGTCGGACGCAGGCACCTATCTGCAACAATTAGAGTGGAGACGTCGTCGTCTTCCTTCTCTATTGTATGTGTTTGCAGGTATGCTTGCCTCCCGGTTGGGGTGCACGCCTCTTGTCCCGGAGATACCAGTAGTCGACGTGTCTGAGGGTATCACGGATTGTTCATGTGTGGACGATGAATGGATGCATTTCATGGCATCATGGGTTGATTTAACCCGGTTGGGTAAAGATATCACAGACACACATTTCCCATCAATGCCCAGGACCGGTGATCCGATGACGGACTGCAGGTCCTCACAAAATTGGGAACGTATGCTCTACCGCTGGCAGGTCAGCCGGCCAACATTGAGTAGATCACCATAGCCTCCGATTCATTGTTTCTCCCGCTAATGAGGCACGCAGACTCTCATCTGGAATCTATCCTGCACGTCGAATACCAATATCTGCAAGTGTTCACAAACTCCATCAAAGTCCAATCGCTGGTCGAAAACATCCTCAATTCACCTACCCAGTCTGCGACCACTGACCGCACCTGCATCGACGAAGTCATCAATAGGTCGACCGAGATCCTGCAATGGTTACTCATCCAACCCAGCATTCAATACCTCCCAATTCGCGTCTTCCTACGAGTAATCAGTTCATCAATCTTCCTCATGAAAGCCCTGGCGCTAGGCGTCCGAACCACACAGCTTCACGCATCATTACATCTCCTTGAGCAGACGATCACTACCCTGCAATCAACCCCATTAGATGACATGCAGCTCATATCACGATACGCAGCCCTATTACAGATCCATGTTTCTCGTCTGCGACAGACCTTCATGACCTCAGCGCAGGAGAGGGAGAAGGATGTTCAATCGGAAGGTCAAGAGCATATCAATTCTCTATCATCACCGGGACAGACGGAACTGGTGCAAGGGTCGCATGACCCTATGCTAGGGCAGCTGGATGAGAGTGGCGATGATTGGCTTTGGTTGCCGATAGATCCTTTGATGGCGCCCTTTGGCGCTTGGGATGATAGCGGTCAGTTGGATTACGGATTGGACTCGGCGCATTTGGATTTGGATTTTATTTGGAACTTGCCGCCATGAAGTGAGGTTTGGGGTCTGGCAATTGGAGTCGAACTCACTCTTATATCGATCAATTACCCATCACTCGGCCGGATGAGGATATACCACCGGCGACGAAGTATACATCAGGGTATATAGACAAGTGTAGATCTTAACCGTGATTATTCAGTTTGATAGGTTCTAAAAATAACGCATATAGGCATTGCGACCATTTCCTGTCAATGCCAGAGCTTTACCCCTCTAGAAAAGAAGATCATTAGTAAGTATAACAGTAGTCAAGAAAGAGGCACACCTGGCACTCCTTGCAGGGCCATGGGTAAAGCCACCATACCCACTTATATAGAATAAATCTGGGTTGTAGCATCGCGGCATGTCAATTGCTGAGCTACACCAGCGGTTGAAAAGCAAGACCTGAGCGTGCCAAGCATTTAGTAAGAAACAAGGCTGACGCTGGCTTAACTTCAACGGTCTAGGCAAACAAAGAGAAGACAGCTACGCAACAGGGATTGGGATCCTGAAGGCCAGGGAAACAAAGACCAACGTCGCTGGTGCTAAGCCCGCACCCCCACGCCACCAGGCAAAAGCATCGTATATATAGATGCCGTCGACCGATGCATGAGACTAACACCCGCGTTCTCGTCTGGTCCATCCTCGCGCTTTGCTTGGAGATCTCGCGACCATGGCCAGAATCCCCTTCCCCATTGTGCCCTATCCGCCAATGCAGCCACCAGCGCATCGCGATAAGCCGATGAAGGTGCTCGCGCTGGGTATGCCCCGCACAGGGACCCTGTGTGGGTCAAGCCAAACCTGAGATCCGACCGGGCAGGCGATGCTAACGATATGGAAAGCACTGTACGTTGCGTTGAAGAAACTGGGATACAACTGCTATCATATGGCGGAATGTTCCCTGGACCAACGCAACGGATCGTTGGGTCTCTGGACTCGCGCCATCAATGCGAAATACAATGGCGACGGCCGGAAGTTTTCGGGCAGAGATTTTGACCAAATGCTCTGGCGCTACGATGTGAATCACACCCCTGTCTTATTAGCCCCATTAGCGCAACACTGACCTCTTAACCAGGCTGTAGTCGATATTCCCTGCATCCTCTTCGCCGAAGAGCTCATGGATGCCTACCCCGACGCACAAATTGTCTTGACCACACGTCCGGTTGAGTTATAGATCGCGTCTATGCAACGCACCTTTTATGCAATCCTGAGCTGGAAGCACTGGGAGATTACTAGAGCTCATTGATAGAGTACCCATCCCACTCCCGCCCCGATCCATTCCAACTCCGCTCCTAACTCCATTTCCCAAGACATACATCGGCCTTTATATCCCCATCCTACGGTCTGCACTGTCCGTATGGACTGGCCGTAACTGGCAGGATACTAGCTGTCTTCCTATAGGCTTTACAGCTCACCATGACCAGGTCCATGCTGCCGCGCGAGCACATGGACGCAAAGTCCTTGAATTCATGGTCCAGGATGGCTGGGGTCCTCTCTGTCAGTTCCTGGGAAGAGAGGCGCCGAATGAACCGTTTCCCCATGTCAATGAGGGTGACTTCATTACGAGGTTTCATATCATTATATTCTGAGTGCGGCTGGCGGGCGTGGCAAAGCAGAGCTTGATATGGGCTACCCCCGTCGTTGCGGGAGGGGCTGCTTGGTGGTATTTTAGAAAGCATGTTCCTCTTGGGAATCTGGCCTCGGGGACTTTCACGTTGTGCTGCTTTGGACTGTGGATTTTTATTATAGTGTTCATGGTGGCGGGATCGGTTCTATCCTGATGAGGTGCTGGCTTGTGGTAGGTTGTTCTGTGTTTAAACCGCAATAATTGGCCTCAAGGGCGATGCGTCAACCTGAGAGAACGAAGGCTTGACCAGATAAGTGAGGATAGATAGAGAAGAAAAAAGGACTAAGTATAAGCAAAGATCATGGATTACAGAGCGTTTTTCCGGACAAGAATAGAGAGAAAGTGATAAATTGCTATTAGATTGGAACATCTCATCTCAGTTCGCATCGGTAAAGCCGATGGTATCGGCAGCTTGCCGAGCCCTAACCAGCTTCGAGACATACAATTAAACGGGCCATTGGTAGGAACCCATAACCAAGGTTGAATTGGATAAGAAAATTCAGAATAAGGTTGGATTAATAAATGAATACGAGAGAAAACATCATCCTCCGGGGATGATCGAAGTCCATTGACTTCTTCCACTCAGCTACATTGTCGGGTTTCCTAATTAGGATATTGACTAGATGCACAACACCGCATAGTACAGCGAAGCCCTTCTTTCAAAGCTAAATGTATTAATATGCTTGGCAAGAGTTTAACCCCATACTATCGGGATTTAATTCCCTCCGCTAAGCTGGGGTATGCCAGATCATGACCGGCCCGGTGGACCTCATCCTTCCCACTAGAGCCGTAGATTCGGTATAGCTGTCCACAAAGCCTCCCCCGGATGTAACCCTACAAAGCTTGATAGATTGCAGTACGGACTTAGACTTATGTATACACCCCGGAAGGGACAACAGAACAACGGACACACGAAGCAAACGTATTTAACCCAAGCCTTCTCTTCACACAAAGTAAAGAAGCAAGTCTTTATCCCATCTTCTACAATACATCACCATTCCAATTCCAAAACCATTCCGAGCCCACCATGATGCTTCCGAAATCCCTCCTCCCTCTCTCCATAATGTTCCTCCCATGCGCCCAAGCATGCCTCGAAGTCGTCGGCACCCTTTTCGTCTCCCACTCTACCTCCTGGAACGTGCAGTTGAAAGATGACGGGACCCAAACTTGCAGCTTTAACTGCAATGCATGGACGACTACCTGCGATGCCACCTGCAATGATGGCTATAAGGCCAAATGGACAACGACTACAGATTGGAGACATCAGCCAGGAAAGCTGCACTATGACACACCTCATGGGTCGTACGACCTGGATGTGCCAGTTGAGCCCGGCTCAGAAGTGACGTATAATTGCTGTGGTGGCAATGTCCCGTGTCAATGCACACAGATTACTTACCGAGGAAGTTTCTGGTGCTGAGTTGAGGTGGGCTGGTTAGTTAGTGGGGGGACTGTGCACTTTGGCAAGGAGTTGAGAGGCGGGCTGACATGGAATGCCTAGTGGGATATGTGTTGAGGATGGAGAGATGGCTGTTTGGGTTTTGGTTTATGGTATAGGTTGGGAATATGGGCCTGAACGCGTGTTCGGTATCGATGTTTACATTGCTGTTGCTCAGGAAGATATATCGAGTGATGAAGTATTGCCATCTTCAAATATACATCCTTCGTATGGCGTACTGCTGAGAACTAGCCTTTTACATACGTCTTGTTCTAGAGCACATGGCTGTATCAAAATGCCAGGATCAATACATACTAAGCTTACAGGGTAGAATGTACTACCGAACCAGGGAGACCTATTGTAGTGTGTCAATATACAGCCACGGGGTAAGGGGGCTGTCCAATAATAGATAGACAATTTAAATATCTTCTAGAAGGATGCATGCAACGGGGATATCAAAGCGGGGTAGCGAGCTATCTTCAGATAAGAATCTCACGTAACTCACATACCCAAACCATAGAACGACACCACCAACGTCTCACTACCCATCATGGAGCAGCCGTACCAATCCGAAAAAGCACCTGTGGCAGACTTTGAGAATATTCCCATCATCGACGTCGCACCGTTAAGCAGCCCAGATTGTAGAGATCGCCAGAGACTAGCAGCGGAAATATACCCTGCCTGCGCACAAGTCGGGTTCTTCTATATCAAGGTGACTTGACTTTCCAGCCCAACTTGCATTGCTTGTTAAGAAAGATCCCGCAGAATCACGGGATATCAGACGAATTAATTAGTGCACTTCATGATGCAGCGCATCGCTTCTTCGCCCTCCCAGAAGAGCAGAAAATGGAATATTCTGTGGCGAAGTCCAAGGTATAGGCATTACCCCCGAGTATCCAATTATCAAGGAGCAACCATGTAAAAAAGCGATAGAAGTGCCGTGGCTATATGCCCATGTATGCAGAGGAAATACCGACCGACGATGATAGGAATGAACGGACAGAGAAGAAAGCAACGGGTGCTCTTCTGGAACCATTCGATATTGGCCATAAAATTCTCGCTGATCCGCAACGAGCCGCGGGTGTGCTGCCCCCGGATACATATGACCTGTACGGAGACAACCAGTAGCCAAGCGATAAGGTGCTTCCAAAATTCCGAGACGTGTATTTGCTTTATTGTACCGAGGCACGCACACTCTGTCGAAGACTAATGAGAAGCTTTGCGCTTGCCCTTGGCCTGGACGAGAGTTTCTTCGATGCCATGATGGACTTTCTGGGGGTGACCTCGCGCATCTTGCATTATCCACCCCATCCTGCGGAAGGAGAGGTTAGAGATGGGCTCGGGGCTCATACGGTAGGTGATCAGAGGGAGTATTGTACTGGGATAATTAGTTATTTAAATATTAAAAAGAGGAAGGCTGCTCACTTACTTATAATAGCAGATAGAATTTTATCGGCGGCATTACAGAAGATTGGTACGTTCACGTATTTCAGCCAACTATTAGGATATCGCCGGTAAAGGAGATACACGATGACCGTGACAATACTGGCATCTGTTACTCGAGATAAGAAATTATCTTATTTAGCTTGTTCTACAATTCAACTACTTACATTCGTTCAGTTTCTTAATAGTACATCTAATTAATGAAGAGCCTTGGTCTGTCGACCATGCTCTATATCTAGTGCTGGCGATGATGAACGCGATACGTCTGCCGCTATTTGTACAGCTCGAATCTGTGTATATCTTGATATTGCAAGTCGCTGGAGTTATTGTAGCACTTTTTTTCATCAGATTAAAGGGTATAAAGTACGCTTCCACTTAATGGCTATTCCTAATCCCGAATCTCCAATCCATCTTGTTTAAAGCTACCTCTACATCAACCCTGGGGTCGGACTAGCTTTCCGTGAGGGAGATCGTGATTCCATGCTCTCTCTCTCTCTTAGATTCAACAACTTTGCCACAGGCTATGCAGGTGGTACTAAGGGAAAAGGCCACAATAGTGTCTATTTTAAGTGGATATACTTCTGTGTGCGTAAACAAAAGCTCCGCATCAGGTCTCCTTAGCCTACTTTCCTACAAAGGACTAATTTTCTTTGCTTCAACATCTTCTGATAATAATTATACATCTGATATTTAATACTATTTTATTTTTAATCCTCTTATATCTCTAAGAATAGAATCGCTAAAGTGTATTAGTATGTAAGTAATAGTTTATTCCTCTCTAATCCTCGGGGTTCTAATGCCTTATATTGACGAAATCTGCCTCCTTTCCAACCCTACCAGGTTCTATCCGGGTTGCCTCTGTAGAGACATCTTTCATTAGAGATGCTTCTATAATTCCCGACATCATACTCTGTCCAGGGAGATCGCCCCATATTGGACGCATGATGAAGTCACAGAGCCCCATATTGAACACTATATATGCAAGGCCTCCTAGATCTAACCAGTCACAACTTTGATTGTGACCCGAGCTAGGCAATCTCGGAACGTTGGTGGAGGGCTCGGTAGGCTCGTCTCAGTTTATTGCGGGGTTCAAAGTTAATCTGTGTTCCATTCATGTCCGTAAACTAACCTATAAAAGTCGGAATTCCGCTGGAGATTGGAACAGATTATCCCGCATCGCATCGCAACGAAGAGAGGAGATATATAAAATTCAGTATAAGGCTGTCTTAAGAATAATAAGGATTAAGAGCAATTGTTAGGTCTTTCTTCTTGGAAACTCCCACTATGTCTATGTACACTATCGAAAAACCGTTGGAAGGGACTTTTGTCTACTCTCTCTTTGGGGTCCAACAGCCTGACGGTTTCCAATCACCTGCTGTTGAGAATCTTGTCAGGACATTCAGTCATCTCATAACAGGCTCCAACTGCCACCTTGATCAAGTAACCCAGGACGGGATTGTTTTCCCAGGAATAGGGAAGACACGCATATGGATTGCCACATGGAAATCGATCGCCGACTTTGAGGCTTGGTGGGAGTCAGACAGTGTTATCCAGTTTTGGTCGTCTCTTCCTCCTGATGCAGGCATGTGGCGCGAGTTTGTCAAGGTTCCTTACGGTCGATCCCAATATAAAGCCACACAAAACCGGCAAGATGGTCAAGGTGTCCATTTCGCCCACAAGCCGACTGACAAGAATGGTTACTGGGGTTGGATCAGAGATTCAATCAGAGAATTGTCAAAAGAAAACCGCATGGATTCCCCTCTGCTAGTGCCACCGATACCGGAACGAGAGGCCTCTCCCAAAGAAAAGACTTTGGGACGTGTCATATTCAATGGATTCCCTGACAATCTTTGCTTTAATCTTGAGAGGCAGGACCTTTCCGAGATGACGGGAGCTGAAAGAGGTGTTTGGTTTGACCAATTTGATCAAGCTGCCTGCAAGTGGATGGACGATCTGGCTCACGCAGCCCCAGAAGCGGGAATTCTAACATCCCGTATGTGTTACGACGAGCGCCTGGGGACCTACAAGGAGGAGGATAGCGAATTCCACAAGTACAATAGAAAAGTCGAACTTTTCTACTTCATGGATCTTAGGTCCATGGAAAGAGCGGGTCGATCTAACAAAGGCCATGTTGCATTGCGTAACAATATTTTGAAAACATATGGGCCTGGCGGGATTATGTCGGAATGTGGGAAAGTAGCCTTGTGGGTGGAGACAAACATACTCAAGGCACCTGAAATTGATGCTGAGTATGTTGGATGCGTTCCTGGGACGGGCTTTATGGCTTACCAGAACCATGAAGCATTTCGATGTCAGAAGGAGGCGAGTCCTTGCCGACCTGCAAAGGTATGAGAGATGAAGTGTGGCTACTTAGTAAACACAACCTTGACAATATCGGCACTCTGGCCCTTGATTTGTTATAAGTTGGAAATCTTCGAGTATGGGAATCATACAAATAGTTCACCACAAGAGATCGGATTTTCATTATCATTCATATCCCTGGGGACTTGTATACATCGCAACCCGCGGGAAGAATCGAGGGATCTTGTTAACGGACCTTTCGTCGTTGCTGCTAAGCGTTGCCGTAGGATATTGCATGCAAGGGCTTGTTTCTGGTCATTAATTTAGAAAAGGAAAGAGGTGATTTGCTTCTTGCTTTCTCCAAGGCTACTGTTGTAATCACTGTACTGATCAACCGTACCGCCATTCTTGGTATGGGTCCAGCTTATTGTGGTTGCTTACCTAGGACTACGAATGCTTTACTATTTTTTCCCAGGATAACGTACCCGCTTTGCAAGTCCGCAACGCTCGGGGCGAGTGGGTGGTGGAACCTCCTATCCAAGGGACACTGGCTGTAAACATTGCGGATTGTTTGTCCATGTGGTATGCTTGGGTTTAAGGGATTTTTGAGCGCTATATGCATGCTGACCTCTGTAGGACAAATCAGACGTTTAAGTCAACTGTTCACCGAGTTGTCAATATGACTGGTCAAGAACGTTACTCTATCCCCTTTTTCTTCGGGGTCAACTATGATACCATTGTGTCCGTTTTGCCAAATTGTGTCTCTGATGATAGACCAGCTTGTGTAAAGTCGTTCAAGGCTGGTGAAGTAAGTGTAATGTGGTGTGGATCACTGGGTGTGTTGTTAGTAGCTAACACTACATAATTACAGTTCGTGCGTGCGCAGCTAGCGAAGACTTATGTTTCTTACGGAGAGGAGCCTTCTACTATGACAAAGTGACGTACTCCTATAGCTGGGAATATAGTTAGACATTTCCCGAAACCAGCAGGCTATGTATCAATAAATGTCATGTTGCAGTTCTCAATGGAAAGATAATTCATTCCCAGGGGGGTGCATGGACATATGGCTGTCAATTCCATGTCCCATAGCGACTAAGATACAAGTACTTTGCTCGGAACACTAGCATACACCCAGAGCGGGCCCCCAACCTGACTCCCATCACGGCGGGGTAAGAAGTACCGATACCGTCCCTAAAGCTCCTGGGAAATTTCCGGGGATGATGTAGGCTAGACCCGCTGATGAATCTTGTAGTATTTTGCAAAATGTACAGGCATTTCATAGTATATCAATAGCAGCGCACACCTGCGAAGTGAAGGCTATACACGTAGCGGATCGGGGAACGTCAAGAATATAGTAAGAGAATCCTGTCCACCGGGATGTTGCTATACCGTGTCTGACCACCTGAAACAAGGTTTTTAATTGAGTGCAACCTTTGTATTCTTTCACTAGCGGTCTTGGCCTGACATAAATGAGCTCTAGTCTAGTGTACAAAACATACCCTGTGGAGATTAGGGCTTACATCTAAGTTTCATCCATCAGGCTACGATATAAATTTCCTCGCGGCCTCATCTGGCAAAATAAACAACTAACTTCAATTTAACTTGAATCCCAAGTTGTTGCCAGAACTCTAGTAAAGATGCCGTCCGAAACAAAGGAACAGCCATTGCGATACGTGCATTATTCTATCCCCGATGCCGACTTCGACAAATATAAGGAAATGCCCAGTCAGTTTGCCGAGATGAACACACTGTCAGCCGTGGAGATGCGTGAAATCATGTCTCAGCTCCCAGTGACGTTCCCATATGATGAGTCAATCACCGAGAGCATCGAGATTAGCCATCGAAACATCACAGCTCGGGATGGCGCTGAGCTGGAGCTTAGAATTTACAAGGACAACACTGTTGGCCAGAACTCAACATTGTTTTTTGTGGCGCATGGAGGAGATATGAAGGTGATCCATGGTTGCATATGATGAGCTGGTTTGTTAACTGCTTGATTGTGAAGGCTGGGTTCTTGGGGACCACACCGCTGAAGAGGCCATGAATCGTTTGGTTGCCAAGAGAACCGACTCGGTTGTTGTTAGTGTCAATTATCGTCTGAGAGTTACTACATTCCTTCCCATACATGAGATTCAAAGTGCTCTTCCTTGTTGGAGATGTTCTGATGGTAGAAATAGGGCCCCGGAATATCAATTTCCCTATGCCGTCAATGACTGCTGGGATGCAATTGAATGGGTAAGCTATTAACATCGAGTTTCAGGTGTATATTCCTGATGATTGTTCTATTGACTTTGACACAGTGTAGAGACAATGCAGATACCCTAGGGATCAACCCAAAGAAGGTGATTGTCGGTGGAAGCAGTTCTGGGGGAAACATTGTGTGTATAATCGCGTCCAAGTTCCACCATCTCTATTCAGGTTCTGATTTTTTTAGGCTGCCGTGCTAGCTATGAAAGACAGAGACGAAGGCATTGGGGCTGTCATCGGTCAGGTCCTGAATGTACCTGACATATGCCGCCCGGCGCACTTCCTAAAGGACAAATATGAATATCACAGTCCCGAGCAAAACAAGGATGCGCCAGTGATGCCAACGCATGCTACTCATTGGTTTTGGGGTATAGTGACTTTATAATATTCTGTTAGTGATTAGATACAAACATGAAATGCTAACTCAGCCGAAACCAGAGCAATATTGCCCCACAGCCGGCGCAGAACCCTATGCCAGTCCTCTGCTGGCCCATTCTTTTACGGGGCTGGGACCTGCATGTATGTATTCATCCGAATATCTCAACATAACTTCTATGTAGTGCGCCGTGATTGATGTTCAAAAGTGATTCAGGTCGCTGGACAAGACCCGATTCGTGATGAGGGTCTCGCTTATGGCGAAGCTCTAGAAAAGGCAGGGTGAGCACTTTACCCACAATATAGACAACTTTGATGTCAGGATTTGGGGACGCCTTCAAACAGGATCTAATAGTTTCATCACTCCAGTGTTCCTGTACACACCAAGGTCTATGCTGGCTTGCCTCATGCCTTCCACCTTTTTCCAGACCTGAAAGCCACTGCAGCATTCTATGATACAATTATAGAATGGATTACGACACTTCAGAAACAGAGTTGACAGAACGCTCCATAAAGAGAGATACAAGAGGAGGGTAGCATCTTAAAAGTATCACTTCCTATAGGTTAATCGAGATGCGATTCGTATCAATTACTTTCAATATATTACGCTAGTTTCACTGTTGAACCTTTGTCTTGACTCGGTGGACAGTATTACAAGCAGAGATACGCGTTTGTCAACTATAGATCCTGTATCAGCACTCTCCAGCATGTTGACCATCCCCTTCGTACCAACATCCTTCTCTGGCTACTATTTCCATCTAGTAATGTATATATTCCTTGGACTTGGGTGCATCGGCAATCACTGATTCAGCGATCTTCACCGCCATGGCATAGAACACAGTCATAACATGCGAAGAAACTTGTGTCGGCGGTATCGAGCCGTCCACTACTCTAAGGCCTTGCACGCCATACACCTTGGCCTCATGGTTGACAACGCCGCCATATTCCTTCTTCATCATGGAACATGTACCCACCCCGTGATAGTTCGCACGGTAGTTCTGTTTCACATAATAGGCCCATTCGTCCAGAGTTGCATCCTGTGGCACGTATCTCCCAGGAACCAGTTCTTTGTCGGCCAATGGTTTCATGTCGTACGTGTTGGTTAATTGCCGTGCGAGCCGCGTAGCAGCAGCCTGGCCGTACAAGTCTAATTTATTCTCGAAATATCGTGGGTTATATTCAAAGCTCCGTAGATACGGATCGGAGTCCAGTGCTTTCACATATCCCCGAGTAAACGGGATCAGGTTCCAGAGATCAAAGTGCGTAGAATTGTCCGTATCGAGGAAAAGCTCGGCGTATGACACTTTATCACTCAGAAGCCAGTTTTGATAATTTTTATATTGTCTCATGAGATTGGCCTTATCAGGAAAGCCGCCACCTTTGACCGTCTGCTCTGCCATTGACTCCAACTGTTTGTCGTCTTTTAGGATAGATTCGAAATGTGTGGCATTCTTGCCCAAGACCTCTGCAAAGGTTGCAAAGTACGCGGCCTGGCCCTGGCCCTTTCCCTTATCATGCGGCTTTGTGACGACAGAAGTCGTTGTTTGATCCTGTAGGTTGTAGCCCACCGGAAGCTCGAGCTTCTGCGGTATACGTGCGTGATCAAGCCAAGCTTTCGGGCCGATGCCTGACCACTGGAGGATGAGGGGAGAGATCGTAGAGCCTGCAGCCAAAAGGACCTCTTTGTTGGCCCAAACATCCCATTTCCACTCCGTCTTGTTATGTATGCCAAACTCAACCCCCTTGGCTTGCAATTTCGGCTCTCCCATCGAGGGCTTGATCTCGTCCAGATGAACCTTTCCAACGAGCTGGCCAGTCAGGACTGTGATGTTACGGGCTAGGGTCGAGTTCTCCAAGATTGGCTTCAACCATGACCTCGCAGCATCTGTTCGGACTTGCTCGTTGGTAAGCGTATTCAGGAACATCGAAACCCCAGTTGGGTCACCACAACATAAGTCCTTTCTGTTCGTGACGAAGCTGTATGTCTTCTGAACCGTATCCATCAACGCCTTGATCAGCGGGGACCAGCCGTACTTCCGATCGCGAGCCCCGACTTTCACTTTACCCTTCGATGGATCCTTGTTATGGCAGTTGGGATCGAAATGATGGAGTGAGTCTGGCGTAATCTTGTCTGTTGCCGGATCCCGCGGGATCTCAATCTCATCCATCTTGGGCTTTAGCGCTTCCCAAGTCCAACCAGTATTCCCAAAGGTACTGTTCCAGGAATCGATTTGCACTTTGTGAGGCCGTGTCCATGTCCCGCCATTGATGAGTGTAGAGCCCCCGAGACCGTTCCCGGACCGGATGATCTTGATGTCCTTGTCTAGTCCAACGTCGCCGTCGTTGCCTACCAGCTGGGGCTTGGTCTCGTAGGCATGGTCGACACTGCTGCCAAAGACCTGGCCGTAGGTGTTGAGATCGTCGATCTTCGGTCCGTACTCCCATGCGTAGAAGCCACTTTCGATCACCAACACTGTAAACTTCTCCACAAGCTTGGCGGCCAGCGTGAGACCAGTCAGCCCGCCTCCAGCGATCACGTAGTCGTAATGCTTGCCATGCACTTTACGGGGATCATCAGTGACTCCGTGGTGTATGTCGTTACTGCCGACCTCACCATCACATGCAGTAAGCGTGTCGCCGGGTATGCATGTTTTGACGGTGTAAAAAGGTGCTGTGATGTCTTGCTGCAAGGGGGCTTGGAAGGGGTCTGCGAGCACCCCTGACAGAAGCAGAGCTAGGTCCAGCAAGGAGTGTCTCATCGTGGCTATGCAGCACGACGCAAGAATTTGATCCTGGATTATGCTGGCCACGCAATTGGCCGTTGCCCTGGTGAAGTAATGATAGGCACATTATATATGCTAATCTTTAGCCACCCTTGCGGGAGGCCGTACTGTTACGATGACCCAACGACTCGTCCATAACGCTGGGTCTCGGCGATGGGATGTCTGAAAACGGATAACAGATAGCCTGATGGCAGATGACATGCTCGTGTCGTCAATGATAGAATAGCCCACTTTGTCTGTGACTTGCTCCGATAAACTCAATTGAAATCATCTCTTTGAACTTTCTTCCCAAAATAATGGTTTACTGACATCAGAGAGCTGTTAAGGCTTTGGCAGTGGGTGGCGTATGGGCGTGAAAAGAGTGGCTGTAATGGAAGTGCAAGATGCATAGCTGGATCCTCTTTCCGATTCATCCGAAATCCAAGCTTGACAACTTCCGCTGTCAGTGCAACCTTGAAAATCATATTCCAAGCCAGTCTTAGCGGCCAAGACTCATCCGACTTCCCCGAAGTAGGTTATCAACTCTGCCCAATGGAAGGTTGGCAGACCATAAAGCAGAACCCATCTGGTTACAAATTCGGGAAGTCGTCGTGCATCAATAGCTGGGTATTGGGTACAAAAGTACCGTTCGTGTGTTTGGATTCACCTTGCCAATGGCATGTAGTACAAGGGCAAGTTGAGCATTCCCGCAGTGGAAGAGAAACAGGGTCACCCTTGCATCCATACATGCCACTGACCCGAGGTCTCAGCTCCACAATTCCCTGCTGTCACTTCGGGGAAGCCGGTTCCGCGTCTCCGGTGGATCGAATGTGACCCCAGGTGACGAATCGATGAGGAACTACAAATGCTTGGAGTGGGCCCTGTCGTGCGCCAGCAAAGCGCAAACCGTGTTCTCGAGTGTGCACGCTTCACTTAGGTCGTTGGCAATAAATGAGGTGATGGAACTTAGGGAGCAGTGCGGTTCTGACATAATGACGTCGGTCTAAATGTAACTCTCCTGCTCGCTCTGTTGACATTTGGTCGGTACACAATGTTCTCGTAGAGCTAAGTCGGTATGCATGTTGCACAATACCTAAGGTAGCATGATGTGGATGACCGTAATGAACAATATATACATCCTAATAGGCTGTCCAGTGATTACGCCTTGAATCCAACATACACACTAGCTTTCTCGGGGTGATTCTGTGATTCCGTTTTGGATGAGAGAGCAGACACTGAATCCACGTCATACATCATTCATTGCAGCTATATGTAACGTTGGATTACTGAACACCAATGTCCCAAAACACAGGTAGTTGGAGAATTGGCCTTGAACTCTCGTTCTGGGGCATAGTGTAGACAAACAATGTTGCGGCGAGTACCCGAGTAGACACGAGTTTGTGTATACCCATGGAACCCAGCCCAGATAGGAGGAGTGACAAACAGCTAGACAACCTGAAAGCAGAAGCAAGATGATGTTTCAAAGCCAATAAGAACTAGGCTTAGGTAAAGGGCAACGTCAACGATCGTGATGTGCCCATTTACGGACTGACATCATGAGATGGAACCAAGCTATCTGGTGCGATCCAATGGACGCAATCAAAGAAGAATTTGAAATGTAATTCAAAGGGATAGTTGGTAAATAGCGTTCATGGAGCTCATCGATTGATGAGTGCAGAAACAACTTACATCAAACAGTGATCCTCATTGCTAATCTATGCAAGTACTACCGATCACGAGCTTAACCTGCGTGACCGACTTGATCCATTATTTTCAAGGCAGAGAGCGATGAGACGAAAGGTTACCAGACTCGGAAGCGATATAACACAGACAATAGTGGCTGACCCTGATTGGTGGAAAGGCTGAGGATCCGAATTCATACCAGGCATGGGTGTGTGCCTTTTCCATAGTGCTGCACTCGCACTTGAGTTATCGCGGTTGTTGTAATCGAGAACTATGTGCACTTGACCTCGGTGGTTCAAACGTCCCTGTTTTCTCCAAGGTTATTGTTGTAACCACTGCAACATTAAAGATGTACGGCCTGTGCTGGAGGTCCGTAGTAGTTGGAACAGTTAGGCTGCTAGAGAAGCAATGGTCCATAAATTTATGGATGTTTGAGGTGATGATTTGAGTGAGGCTTTACACTCAGACCAAGAGTGTGAATAAGGGATGCCCAAATATATATGCACTCAATTCGTACTCACATACGTTTGAAGCATTATGGAACAATACCTCAGCTCTATCCAATCATTCCATCTTTGAATTATCATTGTAATAGAAATACAGTATACATATGTATTTGTTATTTAAACTCGAATCATTTAAACAAGGTTGGGGTTGCTAAAGATGTGCGTGGGATAACCCGAGCTGCGGAACTTTCGGATCTGAGACGCCCGATCCGAACCTGCCTTATTTGTACGCACTTGTGAGTAGTACACGTAACACAAAGCCCTAAACACAAGCGAGTAATCTGGAACCGTTCAAAACCCCGTCGTCTAAGTCTTTCCCAATTATCTGCTCAATTTCCTGGATTGAGTCGTGAGCACCGTGAAAGAGTATCTGAAAGCTCGATCCACCTAATTATCCAGATTTGAGAAGGGCTCACTGCAATGGAGGTACGAGATACACATTGTATAGAATATAGGAGTCAGACGAACTGAATTGAAAAGCCAGGGTGTATATACATAGCCATACGGATATTGCTTGACAGCATTGGAAACATGGAAACATTCAAGGTATAATATTTGAAGTGGAATTTGAAATAGAATGTGAACGGACAATGGCCGACGTCCACCACGGATAGAAAAGTAAACAAACTGAAAAGCCGATGAGGGACAAGAATAAATTGCTGACAAGGGCATTTTCCTGGAAGCAGATTACGCTTCAAGCTCGGCTGGAGGCCCTCGCCGTATCTCTTTGACTTTAGCCCATGGCTTAAAGCTCCTGGAGGAACCCGGTCTACGAGGGGTGGCTTGCGGTGCCGGCTCGCTCTGGCGGCTCTTTTGTCGACGACGAAATACGCGCGAAGCAATAGCTATCACAAACACGGCCAACCCAAGTGCAGCTGCACCGATGCCTATTCCTGCTTTGGCACTTGAGGATAAGGCAGTGGTTTCATGAGCATCAGGCTCTGTCAAGTCTGTTGGACTGGTTGGTTCTATCGCTGCTGTCGATATAGTTGGAGTCATAAGTGTACCAGTGATGGTTGCTGCTGTGAGAGGTGGGTTCGGTGCCAAGTCTGTGGGTACTGTTGAGTTGTAGTCATAGTGTGTTAATGTTGGCTGTAGGGCAGACACTGCAGGCGTGAGGGTAGCGGTTGAGGAAGTAGAAACGTCCCCATATAAGCTTAAATCTGTTGATTGAAGCATCACTGTGATGGGCTGAGCCCACATTGTCAAAGGCCCGCTGACAAGTGTTTCTTTACCCTTGCCTGGAACTGCAACAAGCACTTTGGTGGTTGATTCTGACGGCATACTGCTTAGACATCCAGCCAGCAGTGGTGGGGGGAAGTTGCCAGGGATAGTGGTCTTGTAATAGTTGTGATTTCTGCCTTAAACTCAGTCCTCATGCAAGCAAATACTGTGGGGTACTTCTTGGGACAACATACGAGGGACAGCAAATTGCAGTCGTAATCGGTCCATTGATCGTGATGTCTGCAGATGTGTATCCCGTAGGGCAATATCCCGGACTAAAAACATGTGTTGCCATAGCTCTCCCCGTATTGCTCAACCCCGAGGGATAGCATGAGCTCACAACGCTTAATGCATTTTGTATCAGGATACCATTCACCACGCCGACTGAACTTGTAGGCGCGAAGGTCCAGCTAGTTGAGCAATCAGGAGGAGGGGTAAAAATTGTTGTCAACGGAACAATTGTTATGGTAATGGTGGCACTACCGGTGATTGTTGTGGTCTGCATGACGCAATAGCTTTGTCGCTTGAAGGTACCGGATACAATTCAACAATTTCGAGTAGGTATAGACTCAATAGAACGATGTGCGGTGCAGAAGGTAAACAGTCATTATCGGGCACATGCAAAATATATGCTGATCGACGATAGAAATGGCGTTTAGGCTAGGACAACAAATTCTCTACAACAAAGGAAGACATCCTTGCCAGGTATATGATAGTGAGGTTGCATCAACAATACAGAGGCTGGGAAATGATGGTTGTTGCGTTAATTGAGCCCTTCACCTCCGATCCCACCACATGAGCGAAGCTCATCAGTGACGCGTGCTTTGTCCTCTCTAGGAGTTCCCACGGCCCCTCATGTCCTTTGAGTCCATTATTCTCGACTGTGCATAAGGAAGCCCCTAACTCGAAACTTAGTTTTCTGAGGGGCACTCTCCTCTGTATGACCATTTACCTAGCTTGGGAGCATATGTCAACACCTGGTATTTGTCAACGGTGAGTCTAAACCACTCAAGTCTGGTAATATTGACCTTAATAAGTAGCGATAGCTTGAGCACTTTAGGATAGGTTATATTAATCTAAAGTAGTTGGGAAATGAAGATGTAACAACATCTACTCACAGAGTGATGAGTAGTTCTTGATATATATCTAGAAATTGAACCCATCGACGAGGATATAATTGCTGTGGAACTACGAGTCCCCACCCGGAAAGGTCCGGAAGGGACCAGTCAACTTGGTATCAACATGTTGTCTTTGTTGCCTTGATCTCCTGCATTAGTGTTTCAATAGTTATTTTTGACCCTGGTCGTAGGTAGTACGAGCCCTTGCCTCTGGGTTGCGTCCCCGTAGGATAGTAACACGGGTTACCAGTATTCCTCACCTGCTACTATATTTGAAAGTCAATCCATTTAGGATTAAAAGAAGAAGTTTGGAATTTTCTTTGAGTGGATTAGAAATTACGCTAAAGGTATCCTCGCTTCCTATCCAGACTTCAACCTGTAGGTGTACGCTATATAGTCACCTTTGTTCATCTGGAGCGACTAAGTCTACCCCAAGCCTGAACAAAGAACACCAGGACACAGAGCAAGCGTTAGGCGGTAATATAAATGAGGTTAACGATGGTTCAATCTCTTCGTTTATTAAGTCTACCGTTATGGTTGCTAGCTTCATCCCTGCAGCGATTCGGTAACTCGGGATCGGAATTGCGTATAACACCCCTGGACCTTTGTATGAGGTGTACAAATTCTGTCCATAATATTGGAAGCGGAGCGAAGTGGGAGTACCAGTGATGGGTTCTGCTCAGAATCATCTTGCGTGGCAGGAGACTAAGACTCGTTGGCATAACGCTCTGTATGTTTGTCTGGAATAGAGGCTTGTCTTTTTATGGATCTTGGAAACACTTGTCCTGTAATTCTCTTTAAGTCAATCGAAAAGCACGCATATCCCACCAAGTCTCGTCGACGCTTCGTGTGGCTGATATGGCACATTTAGCGTACGCTGTGCACGTGCTGATAACGCATAAGCTGAGTCGGTCTTCTTTTTTTTTTTTTATGTCGCAAGTGCGGCAGTCAACGTGTCACAGTTAAAATTAGGTATACAGTAGCCGTGAGACACCATATTGCACCCCCTGCACATCCCTGTATGACTATGGCCGTGTCGCCGTAGTGAGTAATCAGGAGGGGAGATGTCCTTTGACACGCTGGACAGCCTCATTAGTCTGTTCAGTCTAATAGGATGGACTGTTTATGCTTGACCACCACTATTTGAGTACCAGGGCTACATAATATGATTGGCCTAACACCATAGACGACATAACCCCGCTTTGGGAAGTTTGTCGTCCTTTGTCCATCACAATTCTACTGCTTGGCATCCCCCAAATCCGGCTTTTTGCCGATGCCCCACAGATTCACCCCATGGGGTACTGCTGCCCCTCAGCCTTATTTTAGACGGAATGTACCTCACTGTGAAAACCCGGTCACTTAGAGACTATACATGTTTGTAAAGCCCACATCTACCCGCTCACGCGCATCTTGAGAGCAAAGTTAGTGAGCCACAATGAGTACATCTACCTATACGAGGCGGCCATGGTACCGCACCACGTTCTTTAACATCACCGTGGTCTCTGTCTGTGCTTTTATCGCACCGGGACTGTGGGCGGCTATGAATGGCCTTGGGGGAGCAGGCGCCGCGGACCCGCACTACGTCAACGCCGCCAATTCAGTCATCTTCTGCCTGCAAGTCCTGGTCTGTATATTCGGCAGCGCCATGATTGCAAAGATCGGATTGAAGTGGGCTTTAGTTCTTGGTATGGTGGGCTTTCCAATCTACGCCTCGAGTGTATATTGCAATATCCGGTACAACAATACATGGTATATCATGCTGGCTTGTGTCATCGACGGGGTCTCATCGGGAATCTTCTGGCTTACTGAGGGGGCTATTGTGCTCGCTTATCCGGAGAAGCATCGACGGGGTAAGTATCTGGCGTATTGGCTCGGGAGCCGAATCGTGGGCCAGATGATCGGTGGCTCGGTCACGCTAGGAGTCAACGCTGGGAATCGAGAACAGGGCCATATAAGTGTGAAGACGTACTTTATCTTCATCTCCATACAGGCCCTAGGCCCATTTGTGGCGGCTCTGCTATCGTCTCCGGACAAGGTCCAGCGATCGGACCAGTCCCCCGTTTCACTTGACTTGCCTAGGAGCCTCAAGGCTGAACTGAACGTAATGTGGACGTTGGTTTGCCGGAAGGAAATCCTCTTACTCCTGCCCATGATATTTCAGAGTGTTTTCTCCGAAGCCTTCTTCTCGACTTACAACGCAACCTATTTCACCGTGCGATCTCGTGCTCTCGCCTCCCTCGTAGCTAGTACGTGTGTGATCATCGCGAACTTCATGCTAGGGTTCTTTCTGGATTGGAAGCGACCGAGCCTGAATACTCGCGCGATAGCAGCGTTCGTGTTGATCTACGGCTTCGAGCTGTCTCTTTACATATACGCCATGATCGTCACTAAGGAGTACGAGAGAAGAGACATTCCGCCTGTTCTAGACTGGGCCGACGACGGTTTTGGTCGTGGCGTCTGCGTCTACATACTGATGCTCGTTGGGTTTAATCTGATGTACGATTATCTCTATTGGCTGATTGGTACCGTCAACCGCAGTGGTGGTGATATTGTGCGACTGAGTGCTGTTGTTCGTGGCGTCGAGAGCGCCGGGCAGGCGATATCCTATGGGATCAACTCGATTGATCAGACGCGCTTCCCTCTCTCCGGAGCTGTTGCCGTGAATTTGTCGTTCTTTGCGGCGTGCATTGTTCCATCGGCCTTTGTCATTTTTAGGGTTGGCATTATAAATGGTGTCAAGGTGTACCGGATTCAACAGGATGAAGAGGTGCACGGTGGTGGGAGCGATGCAGGGAAAGGACCAGACAATAACTCTCATGGCATTTAAGATATGTACATGTACATGGCCCAGTGATGTTTTCCTACGAACTATTACCTTTGCTACTGCTGATAGATAGTCGGTCCTATCTCATCAGTCATATAGTGACATTCGAAGGGCCTTGCATGGGAAACAAGACAACCCCAATTTCGACCAATGTATATTTCTTTCTCGGCAACGTCTTCTGGCGCTTTGGCATATGTAGTTTGGAATATGCAGCCACTAACCCTCACAATCCAATCAATTAGAGCAGATCATCCCATGACGCTTGTGGTGTGCGGGGTTGCAGATCCCAAGCCACGATCACGTCTTACCGGCGCATTGCCGACCGAGTCGCAAGCGGAGACCGGAAATCCTACTACTAGTAGGTAGCACATCTCACTGCCTGGTTTGGATCAAGATGCGGGGTTGCGACTACTCCAACTGATAATTAATCTGCAGTGTTGGTAACTACCAAACTCACCTAAAAGCTCCCCCCCAACCATGAGTGTCAACAGCAATTGTAACGTCCATGACCCCAGGTTCCGCGAAAGCAAGCCATCGCAAGGGGACTCATCGCGACCAGTTGCAGATCTGTTTCGTCTAGATGGGCGGACCGTCGTCAGTACGTTGTTCCGCGTATGGCTGTTTAATGGCAAAGGCTTATCAATCGATGACTTGATTTAGTAACCGGTGCCAATGGCTTCCTGGGAACTACGCTGGCTATAGCCATTCTCGAAAGTGGAGGCGATGTGGTATGTCTCGATTTACCTCAGGAGCCTACAGCGACGAATTGGAGTAAGCCTTCTATTCGATTAATGTAGTATATCAATTGATTAACGATGCAACAGAGGAGGTCGAAGATGCCGCATCGAAATATGATCGCAGTTTATGCTATTGGCCTCTGGACGTCACCAATGAGAATATGGTTGCAGATGTATTTGCCAAGTTCATGCCTACACTCCGGTTCCCCCTTCGAGGACTGGTCGTCTGCGCTGGGATCTCGCGGAATGGACCTGCCATTGACTTCCCAATCTCGACAGTTCGTCAAATGCTAGACGTCAATGTCAGTGAAGCATTCCTGGCGGCCCAGGCAGCTGCCTGGGAGATGAGGCAAGCAGATGTCAGCGGTAGCATTGTATTAGTCGCTAGTATGAGTGGCTACGTATCGAACAAGGTATGCTAACTCAACTTCACTATATCCTTGCCCCAATAACGAAACATCCAGGGTGTCGACACGGCGGGATATAACGCCTCCAAAGCTGCAGTACAGCAGCTGGCACGATCGTTGGCAGCGGAGTGGGGTTCGCGAAAGGGTATGCCCCTGATCCGAGTTAACTCGCTCTCGCCTGGCTATATCCGCACAGCGGCGACGGAGGAGGCTCTTCAGAAGCCTGGTTTGGAATCTCAGTGGATTGGGGATAACATGTTGTATCGGCTGAGCACAGCTGATGAGTTCCGGGCCCCGGTGCTCTTTATGTTGGGCGATGGGAGCAGCTTCATGACTGGGTCGGATCTGCGAGTGGATGGTGGACACTGCGCATGGTAGGCCTTTGGTGATCCTGGATGCTATTTTCGAGAAGGAGGAAACGAGATAGTATCTAGGATCATGAGGGCATTTGTTGTGCTTTGGATAGAGGTTCGTACCGGAAAGCATTCAGACGAATGAGAAAACTGGCACTGCACAAGAAATTTATCAGGGCTCATGGTGTTGATTTTCTGCTTGTAACCATTTACTAACTGCCAACTGAAACATAGACTGCCTAAGAGAATACACAAGTGCCATGGAAAAGCACCAAAAGTGCAATAGTAGATCAAACAATGGTAGAAACAATCACGACCTCGGCGCACTCCCTACAACACTATTCAATTCCGTCCCACCCCCTTGCAAGACCTCCTTCCAGTTCCTCTTTTTCAACCACGCCTCGAACGACTCTGTCTGCAGATCCGTCTTCAGCTGGCTTGGATGAATCACACCCTCAATGCCATCCGAATATCCAAACTCCCCAATAAACAAAAACGCATCCAAGATCTCCCAAGGAATACCAAGCTGCTCATGCATCTTTACAGCCTCCACCTCAACCAGCTCAGCCTCAATCCCGGTAGCCCTGGTCCAAACCTCCACAATGTTCCCAATAGTTAGTTCACTATCATACGCGAGCAACCTCGTCCGTGGAGGTTCATCAACCAGTGCCTTGACAAAAGCCCCGGTGGATTGTCTCGCGGCGATGATCGGCATCTTCTGGTCTTTCTTCAGCGGCACGATGAACTGATACTTCTGGCTGTCTGGATCCCATCTCGGCATGAAAAGAGGATTGGTCGCATATGCACCGATGATAATGTAGGACGTCTTCTGCGCTAGTTCCGGCGTCTGCGTTTCAATGAACTCCATGATCTCCCCCTTGGTGTCGCAATGGTGCGAATGCGGGTACTTCCCACCAGAGTGCTTCTTCATCGGTGCCAACGTGGAGTATATAAAACGGTCTAGAGTAGGCACAGTTGCGGCGGCGAGAGCGGCGTTCCGGCCGTGCTGTATCTCTTGCTCATAGGCCGCTTCGTAGCTTCCCGTGGTATGGAAGGGCCCCCAGAAATCTGTGTTGACGAAGATAACATTGGAGTTGACGAAGGCGGAACCTAGAGAGGCTGTGTCGCTGAGGTCCGCCTTGACTATACTGGCACCGAGAGAGGCGAGTGTTTGTGCCTTTGGAGACGAGGGATTCCTAGTGATGCAGCGGACGTGCCAGTCGGGTACTGGGAGGAAGGCGTCTGCGACGGAGAGGCCTTGGTTTCCTGTTGCGCCGACAATAGTGATAGTTTTCATTTTGGTAGACTGGAAGTAGTGATTAGATTGTTGGAGTCGTACTTTGGAAGGCCCGTTAGCACAAGTTTATATACCGGGCTTCGGATGAATTGTAGGTCATGAGCTTATGGTGGCTTACTCTTGGCGTGGAAATTAGGGCTCCTTTCCGATTGGTGAAAAAGCGTCAGCCAACTCCGTCGGGAGAACTTAACATCAACATCTCCCAACAATATCCCATAAGCCAGACACCATGCCTGGAGATAACGACGACAGAGTACCAAAACGCCGGAAGCGAGTCATAACTCCGGCGCGGAAAGAACAGAACCGGGTCGCCCAACGGGTTTATCGTGAGTATACCCAATATTTTCACCGTGATTGGGAGCGCCGCTAATTGGATGAAGGGCAAAGGCAAAAAGAACGACTACAGCGAGAAAAACATATCGCTAGACCATCTTGCACGCCCAGAATCCTACAGCCAATCCCAGCTGTAAAATATGTGCAAGCACCACCTGTAGATCCGATCTGTTGTACGGCAGAATCTCCAGCAGTACATCCAGACACTCGAGAGAGGCAATGCTTAGCACCGATAAAGTTAACTCTGGATCATTTATTTCCTTCAGAGAGCGCTCGTAATACACATAATGGAGATGCACAATCTCAGCGCATTGAGGAGCATACTTCGAATGAGAACACACCGCCATCAAGTTCCATAGAGATAATGTTACCTGACCCGTACCAGAACACTCTCGAATCAACACATACTATGCTTCTCCGCGCATGCCTTCACAATGCCCAATGCCTTGGAATCAGCATCAAGCAATTCTTCAGCTATGAGTGCATGTCTCTTTGTTCACCATTCTATCGACCCCACACTACCATGTCGGATGACCCTCACGCCCTCATCAAGAACGTTTCGAGTCCATCTACCCCTGCGCATCTCCAACCAACCTTGCCTCAGATCCTCTTTCCTCATCATCCGCTGTTAGACCTGCTTCCATTGCCTTTATTAAGAGCCAGAGCGGTCATGTTAGCTGCTACGGCACCCACCTCGATAGATGCCGGCGACCTAAAGAGAGATATCGTGGAAAGGGCGGGTATTATTTGCCAGGGCGAGCAGCCCTGGGAGATGCGCAGTTGGGTGGCTGCGCCATGGTTCTTAAAGAAGTGGAAGCTGCTACTGGGTAATTTCTAAGTTACCTTGAAGCTGTGAGCATTGTTTCGAAACTTGCTGGCCGAAGGTTTAAGCTCTGTATAGCCTTTCGTTCGTGCTGGTAATGAAGCTGTTCGGTGGACTTCATAGTGCGATTTTGGGTTATATATATTGGGCTGGAGCTTGGGAAACATGATATAGCTGGTCACAATTGTCCCGAGCTCCTGGTAGATGTGAGGTGCATGTTGAAGGGCTTTCGAGGGAAAGAACAAAGTGCTCGGCATGAATATTAATGCGCAGTTAAAACGAGAAGGAAATCGATGGATCCGCTGAAGAGAAAATAAAATGTTTCAAGGATAGACAGATAGCTACAATATGCCTCGATTGTCTTTCAGTCAGAGGGGGCATTCATAGGAGGTCATATTCTCATATAGGAGACCATAGTAGGGCAGCTCAACGATTGCCCACCTATGTGTGGTATTTTCACAGGCCTCGGCCATAGGTGGGTGAGGCTCCCGAATATTCCTACGAGGATTGAGGATTGCATTACACAGATGGGCCTTCCCCGTGCAGTGACACACAAGGAATATTGATGGACCATATAATCGAATTTCTTTAAACCTACCCATGAATAGTAACTTTTGTATTATGACGTCTTGAAAACTGGGTATGCTACGTAGCATGGAGAGAGGGCTGATAGGTATCTAGTATGGACTTCCACCGCGGAGAGTCCATGAGCAGCGTATTAGGCACCTCTCTCTCGATGTACTGTATTACAGGAAAACAGTCAGAGCTTGATTGTAAAAGCCTTGAATAATTGATAGTCAGGAGAAACTTACATCACGGTATTTGCTTTCCATTCTCATTCTCAGGAAGCATTTGAACGGCATTGTATCCTTGGTGAAAAACTCATGTAGCTTTGCTCCAGGTGAATCTTTGCCAGCGCCCAAGACTGCCGATAATATTTCGAGTGTGATTGCCCATCCGCCATGGTTCTCCAATCCCAATGCTTCAAGAAGCAACCCGACGTGGTTCTGGAGGAGTGAATGATGCACCTTGCTCCATACATTGTCCAAGTTATCTGTCAAGGTCGCTCCTCCAGGAGGCAAGGAGTCAAATTTCACGCCATGCTTCTTCAATGTTGGGACATGCATTCTGACACCTCCGAAGTCGCGTACAGCGAATCCTTTGATCTGGCCAGTCTGGCGGCAAACACGAGCCACTAGGTTCTGACCGTGACCCTCTAGTCCGATGCCATACTGAACCAATGGAGGGAGGACAAGATTAAACAGTACTGTAACATATCTGTTCGTAGATAAATTAGCCCGCATTCTCTTTATTCACCAGCATCAATGAAGTCGGCCAACCTTCTGAACCACTCCTTCTTCTGGGCGATTGTTTCCAGGCTGTACAAAACCTCCACGTATGTACGGCTATCTCCATAAGGGCGCTGGCCCAATGCCGCAGCGATGATAAGAACCTCGTCATTTGCTTGTGCTCTGCTCTCCAAGCTATCTCGCAGAATACAAGAGAGATGGCGCGCCTCATTGAAATCTTCTTGGCTACCTGAGACAGCGGCTACCTCTCGGAAAACCCAAAGGTCGTCTGGCAGAAATCTCTCCAAGAGTTCCGTTTGAACTGGGCCGCCACAGGTCGTCCATGGCGTGATGGTTCGCAGAGCGGAGGTAATCTGACAAGCCAATGAGAGTTTCAGGTGGTAGTCGAATTCTAGATCTGGGCGGATGGTGAGCGTTCGCATAGATGCCTGGGCATCCGCGCAGTCTGTGACTAGTTTCAGAATGGCAGCATCAGGGAATCTCTGGTGAACAGAAGGCAGCTGTTGAGCGAGACAAGGAACCGTCACACGATCCCTAGTTGTCTCTGGGATGTCCAACTGTTGCAGTAGAGGTTGCAATTCTCGCTCAAACTGACCCGTTATACGGAGATTGTCGCGTGGTACTGAAACAAACGCCAGAGTCGGCTTCAGCATCCCAGGGATATCACCAGGGCTGACGGGCTTTAGGGGTGCTTGCGCGTAACATAATCGGTGGTACTTCTAAGATGTTAGATTCCAATAAGATACGTCAGATGGCATTTCAGGGGTCATACAGGATGGCTCGGATGGCCATATATCAATGCCCGTTCCCAGTTCGCAGATGTATCCTTCAAACTCAATAACTTCTGATTCTGGCTGATTTCCAGCCATTTTTCTGCAGGGCCGTTTAGTACACCACATGGAGGGATAAGATGTTCAAGTTCTTACCCTGGTTCCTTGCTGAGTTACGTAGCTCCTGAGCTATAGCTCCTAGTATCGTCTCATCCGCATGATTCTTAAATGAAGCACTTAGAAGCCCGAATATTGCGCCAGGGTCCAGCTCTTGATTTCCGGTATCTCCAATAATTACAGGGGGCTGCAAGCTGGCTGGTCGGACGACAGAAATTACGTGGTCCTCTTTCATCTCAATGACGGTGGCCGGTTTGATCCCGACCTTAACGCAGATGTCATCTTGGGGACTCAATAAGCAAAGTACTTGTGACCCTCCTGGCACAGTCACTTCGACCTTCGCATCAACCAATCCTTCGTTAACAAGTTCGGCGAGAACTCGTCTCGTTGTCTCGAATAGACCTTGGTCGTGCCTAGAGAGGACTGTCATGATGTCTGTCGGAATTCTGAGGAGCTCCACCTGATGAAACATCCATCTCTGCTTAAATAGCCCAGCTCCTCCAGGTGGGGGCAGGTACGCTAGAATTGTAGCACGTTACTTGAAGCTACCACGATTGGCTAGTTTTCACTATCTGTCCTTAGTGTCTGAGGCAGCAGGCAGCTTCGTAATTGGGACTGTCCTATTTGCTACCATACTCTGATCCCTCATGCTGCCTGCTATGACCAATCATCTGTATTTTGTCGATCTCCCTGGTCCTGTCTCGACGCGGTGTGGGACCGCAGATCGGCCGATTCGGAAAGGATCTGAACAAGCTGAGGTTAAGATTGACCAGCGTATCTGTGGAGGCACACCTAAATGAGTAGCTATAACTAGCTCGTTCTTGTGCTCAAGAGCTTGTTGTTTCACCAACCTTCCTCACGGTGAGAAAAAAAAAAAAATTGAAATCTCGGCAATGGCTTCAGAAATCGAACAGGTGCCTTATTTTCCGGATCGCAATGGTTATGAGTCGCGCATATTTGATCATTCACGAAACTCATCCATAGAGACGGACCTTCCTCCTGGATTTCCCAAAAGCTTAGTCTCAAAGATGGCTTGGGAAAGAGAGGATATCTCCCTGGACGAGGCACCAGCTAGTGGAACTCCATACGTGTTGATTTTACAGGGTCCGCAGTTGGTAGAGATTGATGCGGCGCTCAGACACTTTCAAAGTCAGCAAGCCACAGCCGTAGTTCCTTTCATATCTTATTGATGGCTGACTTGTCCATTGCAGATTTGGCTCAGCCAATGGACACTCTTGACCCGTCAACGTTTCCTCTTCCGTGCTTACACTCGGTTCTCCGGTCGGTCTCACATAATCTACATTCGGGCTATGGCTTTACTCTCATTCGTGGAGTCCCCGTGGAACGGTATACCCGTGCTGAGAACATAATCATTTATGTTGGCATCTCATCCCATATTGCCGCCATCCGCGGTCGCCAAGACCATCAATTTGAGGGGCAGCCAGCAGACGTGATGCTAGCCCACATAACCGACATGCGGCGCCCGGGCGACGTACAGAATTACGCACTGGCAGCATATTCCGACAGCGAGGTGGTATTCCACACCGACGTGGGGGATATCGTGTCCCTCTTTGTGCTGGGCGAGCCAGTAAGTGGCGGTGAAAGTCTGCTTGCGAGTGGATGGACAGTGTACAACGCACTAGCAGAGACCCGCCCCGATCTAATCCACGTATTAGCAGAGGACTGGCCGATCCCCAGGTGTGTGGAGAAATCCTTGTCGAGCCTACTAATGAAATGACATGCTTTCCTAACCATCGAATCCGCTCCGCTAGCGCACAGGAACCCGGAGTCTTCAAGTACCGACCACTACTGTATTATCAGCCAAGCTGCGGGTCAGCCCCCGAACGAGTGATCTTGCAATTCTCGCGGCGCTCATTCTCTGGATTCGGAGCCCACTCCCAGCCGAGCATGCTCTCTCCAACTCAGGTCGAGGCACTGGATGCGCTCCACTTTCTGGCGGAGAAGCATCACGTGGCAATGGAGCTGAAAAAGGGCGATATGCAATTCATCAATAACCTGAGTATGATCCATGCTCGAAATAGCTATGTAGACGATCCAGAGAATCGGTAAGTTCACGCCTATGTCCTGACGCTTGACCACTCATATTGGCTAATCCAAGGCATGTCCAGACGGCACCTGCTACGCCTGTGGCTTCGCGATCCTCAAAACGCGTGGGTCACGCCTGAGCCACTGCGCAGTCGTGCAGATCGGATTTATAGCGAGAACCACCGACGGGGTCCGCAGATTTTTCCTGTGGATCCGATCCCGAGGTCGGTGGGGAAGGCTAGAAAAGATTGAGATGACTCGTAGAATGCAACTAAGATTATTAGGAGGTTTAGTCAGTTATGTGACTATTCTTGGCTTTCAGCTGTTCTCCGACCTGCTGTATATAGGGCATTTTAAGGTATTCAAATGCTATATCTCGGAGAATAAATACCCCGTCGGGCTTGAACTTATTATACAATAGGCGCAAATCCCGATGAGCTCCATCAGTTTGCGGCTGAATTGGTCGGTTATTGAAGTTTGAAAATCAGATCCACCCAGAACTCTTTCACATACTGGGGCCGAGTGGATGCCGAGAAAAATATTATCACCAGATAGAATAGACATAGGATCCACCCTTTCTCACCATCTTCCCGTGGTTCCTTCCAGAGGTCGCCGTGAACCAAGCACGGTCTAACTGTACGACCATCTCTCTCCAGGGTTCCCATTAGTCGTGGGACTGCAGCCTCGGCAGCTCTCCGCATCGGCATTTCGAAGTTCTCCCAAGGGCCATTGGTTCCCGCACCTAGACTCACCACATGGTTCAACAGCTTGGAAAAGAATACAGTCCGGCTGCGCTCCTATGAATCCCGTTGGGCCTTCACAGGTGATGACATGGAATCCAAGCTTCCCGATCGGCGAGACACCGGTGTCCACGCGGCTTCGCAGCATCGATGATCTTCCTCATGTCCTAATATATGAGGAGACCAAACGGCTTCCAGATGGAAACTTGGCAAATATGCTTCTGTACCTGAGAAAATGGTTGTCCCTTCTGGGAACAAGTGAAGCGCTCTTGACCAGGGCCGGCACTATTGATGTTGTGTATGAAGGTTGGCCTTGTAAAGGGAAATGTAGAGGTCGGTGTACAGCTTCGACGAAAGCTGTCAAATTAGAATCAATCAATGCAGCGGTGGGTTAGCCGTTGGACAATGACTCACAGAGATGGCAATCCTTCTTCATTCAATCCTTGTTTAGATTCATGTGATAAGACACGACCAATTCAATTGCGATGCGGTGTTGATAAAGATATATATAACTCGAGACGCCGTTCCGAATAGGAGAGCTCTTGTTTACCCGATATTAGGTACAACATGTCAACTACGTCCTCACAACTAAGACGACAAACCTGCGCATAATGTTACGGCCAACCAGCGGCGGGCTGGAGTACAAGCACACCATGAGCTGATTGTGCCTTTCCCGGTGTTCAGGACGGCCACATTTATACGTATTGGAGATGAGGCCAGGTCTAAGGACCTCACATGCCCATGTTGCCCGCCATGCCCTAATCAAAACCTCAGCATGCTGCATATCATTCCAATCTACTAGGCTCACTTGTTAATAGTGCAAAATTAAGGCAAGAGAAAAAGAACAATGCCATATCATACCCCAGATGGACGCCGTTTCATTTTTACACTAACTATACCTAAAACGTTGTTGGGGATGTTTATGAAACGCGAAACATTACTATCCGCGCGTTCCATTCCTATTTTCGAGCTTCATGCGTACGTGATGACCTATCAACCGGACTCCACCCCAATTCTGGCCCCGGAAGCCCAGGAACGCGGCGTCTTGGCAGGTGCGCCTCGTGGTGGGGAGAAGGGAGAAGAACGTGCCCGGATGATGGTTCGGCACCAGATTTGAGCGAGGCTCGGCTCACGCTCTGGCATACTTTTGTATAGCGACTACCTAGGCCAGGTTGATAGTCTAATCTTCTTAAATATAGTACCTGAATTATGTTTTCTGGAAACTGGACTCCGGGGTGCATATATATGAATCACAGACATGTTCCACTCCCAAGAGCTTCTAGGCAGCAGAGCATTCTTAGCGCGCGCCCCCTTACTCGGCATTATTCACAGCTCCCTTGGAAGCAAACAGGGGGAAGTTTTTACCCCTTTATATGGAACTCCTGTCAATATGGCCACATAACATAATATAGCCACATCCATGCAACTCATCTCGCGATGAAAGCATACCTGTACTGCCTGTACAGGCGGACGCGCCGACTCCGACTAGCCCTTTCATTGGTCATCGTTGCATGGACCCTAGTAGAAGTGCTACACATTAAATACACGCTTGTGCAACAATCACAGCCTGAGCCAGTTACATTAGGAAATGAAAAGATCTACATCACCGGCCTTCACTGGAACAGCGAGCAGATCCTACGGGAAGCATGGATCGCGGCCGTGGTGGACCTGGCTAATGCGATCGGCCGGGACAACGTCTTTGTCAGCGTACAGGAAAGTGGGAGTTGGGACGATACCAAAGGTGCATTGCTTCTCTTAGATCAGCAGCTGGCGGAACATGGTATTCCTAGGAGGGTACTCATGGACTACACCACCCATTTCGACGAGATCAGTAAGCCTCCTACCGGCGAGGGGTGGATTGAGACGCCAATTGGGACAACCGAGCTACGCCGGATACCATATCTAGCCAAATTACGGAATGTAGCAATGGAACCGTTCTATGAGCTGCAGAGTGAAGGAATTATATATGATAAGATTTTGTTTTTAAATGACGTGGTTTTCACCGTAAGTAAATAACAACTGACAAAATACAATCTATACATCTCCTAACCCATGTCCTAGACTCACGATATCCACAAGTTACTCTCGACAAGAGGAGGCAACTACGCAGCAACCTGCTCGCTCGACTTCTCAAAGCCCCCAAATTTCTATGACACTTTCGCCCTCCGCGATGCAGAAGGCCATGACATGCTCATGCAATCATGGCCCTACTTCCGATCTCGAGCCTCCCGCCGGGCCATGAAAGACAGTCAACCCGTGCCCGTCACAAGCTGCTGGAATGGCGTAGGTCAGTAAACTAACCTAACCTAGTCACCACCAACCGATAGCTAACAGTCCTCTTCAGTCGCAATGGATGCAGCCCCTTTCTACCAGCATCGACCGTTAAAATTCCGCGGTATTCCCGACAGTCTTGCAACATCACACTTGGAAGGCTCTGAGTGCTGCCTTATCCATGCGGATAATCCCTCATCCAGAGAGAAAGGGGTCTGGCTCAATCCCAACGTCCGTGTAGGGTATAGTTCCCCTGCCTACCTGGCCGTTAATCCGATGGAAAATTCATGGTTATCGAGTTTTAGCATAGCTAGCGGAGTATGGAAAAACCGGGTCCTACGGTGGATTACCACGCCATGGTTCAAGGAAAATATAGTCTGGATGCGGTTGTGGAAGTGGGAAAAACTTTCGGACGAAAATATAGAGCCTGGGACGTTTTGCCTGGTTAATGAAATGCAGGTCCTTACGGAGAACGGATGGGCGCATCGGTAGTGGCTTTGTTCTGGTATAGATAGAGTAAATAACCAAGCCTCACAGCGTATCTCGCGATGTGCACCAGACATCTTCCCAGGAACTTTAATTGAGCCAATTTCAAACCCAATTTCTCGGAAGCCTACTAAATGAAGCGTTTATCCAATCATATTGAGGTTATCACTCGTGTTGATCGCCTGGTAGACACTTAGACTTGGTGCATTATTCTCCACACACACACACACTAAAGGGCCTACCACTGCCGATCGCGCTGATCACGATGCAAGACACTCAGTTTCTAGAAATGTACCTCGACCAATTAAATACGAAATATATGTTAGTTCGACTTTTATCACATCGGGGAGCTGGCATCATGCTCTCGGTTAAGACGTGCCTAGCTTCGCATGGGGGCTGCCGTGCGCAATGTGGGCAACTGTGCACATCTTCAGAAAACTGTACAAGGAACTATACTTGGATATATGGGTCATCTGCAACTGGACTTACCCTACAATCGAAGTATGGGCCTGTTCTGGTCCTCTAGTCTTGCCAATTCTAGCATGAGCTGATAACATAAATTGCAAGATCAGTTTCTCGGAAAGCTTGCGTGTACCATGCCCGGCCTCCGCCAGCCTCTTTGGCCACTCGCTGTCCAGCTTTAGTAGATATGAGATAAGATACTATCTCAGGAAACTCCCACGCTTTTGCTACCAGGGATGTAGTGAATCGACGACACCAAACGATCGTCTGTTTTAACGGGACAGACACTGAAGCTAAGAGCTTATAGCAACGACCACCATGCCATTCCCATCGGCATTCTTGATCAGGGTACTTGGTCTTTGTAGGTCTAATACTTAACCCTAAATTATGCACCTTGCTCTCTGCACTCTTTCCTGTTGCATTGAAATATATAGCAATGCCGACGTCGAGTAACCTAACATTAACGGATGGTAATTTCACGCAGATAATTACACCGTTCTGTTCCTGGAGGTAATTATACAAATGGTCCTTTTGGTGCTGTGATAGCTGAATAACCCTTTGTCAGTGGTATTGCTACCACACGTCTTTCGAAGCAACACCAGCAGTGGTAGTCCTAGCCAAGGAAAGATTGTTGCCCTTAATATTCCAGTCAACATCTGTCGCCTTGTTATATTGAAGCCCGGGATCAATATATGCAGGGCTATGATATAATATTTCAACCGTGATCGAAGCCCTGTGGAATGGAGTTCAGATATATCTCCTAAACAAAAACAAACCACTTCAACTTGACTTCGAATATAGCTTTCCATCGTCCACTAAACTTTGAGACATTAAAAGAGAGATATCTTACATCATACGTAATTGTTTCTCTTTAGTTCTTTGCTTTTAATAGAAGTCATCTTTGTAAGAACGGCCGTGATGTACAGGAAAGTGCGTTCGCCACTTGGACAAAAGATCACTTTCATCAGACCCTGTACTTTGATCTGCCTGTATCGCACGTTGAGTAGCTATAGGCAGTGAGCCCACTATGACAGTTCCTTAAGAACTATCTGATAGCCCATATGAATTCTGGAGCGCTCTGGCAGGACAATTTACCTAAACTATGATGTTCCAATCGTAATATATTCTTGTACAGAATAATAACACGTCTACTCCTTCTTATACTAGGCATACTATAATTACTGCCCCAGAACATTCTTCAATTGTCTCGGATCTTCTGAGATAGGCGTATATATAGTGCCAGCCTCGCGTATTGATGATCAACTCACGGAAAAAGATTCCACATCCCCAGAAGACCCACTCCGAACAGGGCCCAGCTCTGTACACAAGACATACGCACAGAGATCTGCCGACCATGTTTGTTGAGATAGTCGAGCTAGGTCTCGATATGCTTGTGGGTTGTTCTGATCCAGCAATGATTCAGATTGAGCGGCCAACAAATTATGATTACACATCCACTGACATTAGATTGTCAGTTCTGGCCCAGCATTCTAGTCATGATTCTGGGGAAATGCAATGTCCATAGAAAGGAGGAGAAAGGCAATGAAGTATTTGTGGAGCAGAGCCTCGATCGGCGGGATCAACTTTCTCTAGCTTCAATAGTGGGAAATACTGTATAAATATTCCAATAGTACTCCGTACTATCCTACCCCGATATAGTGCGGAGTATTTTCTCCATCCAGGCCCAACGTGCCAGTATCGATTAGGTATAATCTGGTCATGTGACATATGATAAGTTGAGCGACGAGGTCTCAATATTGCCAGATGTTGAGGTTATGATATTCAGTGCAGGAATTGTAAGCTATATTGCGAGGCAAGCAAAACACTATTTGGTAGGTGGCTGATTAATTCAGACTTCTGATGCGAGATAAGCTTGATTTCTACTTCACCTCACTGCCGTGTTGAATCAACTACCGGATATCAGAACGCTCAAAGCACCGCAAGGAACTTTTATTCAATCAGACCCCCATCATATTCTTCGGAATAGTCGAGGAAGTCTACTAGTTCCGTCAATCTATTTACTTGTATCTCCCGTGTTTGATGAAAATCCTCACCGATACCTGGGCGTACCGAACTTCTCCGAGTTTTGGATGCTTTTAAGTAAATCGTGGTCTTAATTCTGGATAGTGAGGAATCTTTAATATATAGTGCCGAATATGTAGCTACGACTGGGAAACCGTGCAAAGGCTAATATCGAGGTTGCAGCTGCTACTAGTCATGCTTAGGCTGGCGCAAAAATACTGCCAGCGACGGATTATTTCCAGGCCGTCGAGGTTGAATGTAAGGGGTGGGAGAATGGGAGAGAATAAGATCAACCTTCCTGGAGCAGAGTTTGATAGAACATGATAGAACACAAGGGATTTAAGTTAATGAGCTACACCGTTCCTATGCGACATTTGCAGATACAATAACATCCGTATTACTACGAGTCAGCCGACGCTTTATAACTAAAGCCTACAGTCTGAAACGACTACGTACTCAGAATGCGTGTCAGCTTTAATATTATTGCCATTGCCTTGCGAAGCACAGCTCAGGCGCCTAGCTACAGATCCGCGAGCTAACCTTGTAGCAATAATGAGTGCAAAACCAACCATCCAAAACCCACTAACCAGATCGTTACGTCAGACAACTTATCATATTTTACCTGTAGCTTTGATAGGAATGCGCATTACGGTGTTAGCGGATGTACGTTTTCCGAAAGCTTAGAGCAACGATTCCTAGCGTCACAACTGAGTAGAGTCTGAAGCTGCAGCAGGCACAGTATTCGTATTTCCGCACGCCCATCGCAATCACTTCATGTGCTCCTGGATGTAAATCAGCAGAAACCCTTGCATTCATGATACCCTTTCTTACGACGCGCCCATATCAAACTATAAGAAGAAGCCTCAACGGTGCGACAATCCAGGTCTTCGACCTTGATCTAAACAGACCCTCAGAACCTCTACAGTCGAGGCAACATATAACACAGAGAGTGAATTTGAAAGATTGCCGAACCAGATATCGGAAGCTTTGTGACCGGCCAGGTTACCTGTATGCTATTTCGTCCCGGGAGCTCCACTGACTATATTATCAAAGGCGGGGGCGTATGCCCGACGAATTCGAAGCGATTGGCAAACTTCTGTGCGGTTCAGATGCAGAGTTGCTGGCCTCATGTTGTCTAAATACTATACTCAGACCTGCATGGCAAATGGAACTGAACTCCTGAGTGGTACTTATAAAGCCCTTCGCGTTATTTCCAGCATAATTATTTCTATCATTTGTGCTCGTTAATCTACGGACTGGTGACAGGAATTCACTTTCATATAGAATAATCATCAGCTTTCAAGGTAATATAGCTCCTTGTTCGGAACATCACGAGCAAGCCTAGATCCGGTTATATATATCCTTACATCAAACAGTATACACAAGAATACTAGGGAAGGTAATAAAGCCAATTGATCTACCACAGCCTATAGACCTTGGGCCGCATAGCCCAGAAAAATTACTCGAGTATTCAGTCTCATCTTCAACATGACTGGGATGCATTGGAGCATGAGGTGAAACCATTTTTTGCCATTCAACATACACGGCCTTACACTTTTGTAAGCCGTGGTGGCTTTTCTCATCACTGTACAACGTAGGGCGTGTGGAAGGTAATGATAACAGACTTATAGGCTCATGCCGTTGATTACGAACGATATATTACGTCTATCAACTAAAAATACGGTCTCTAAGACTATTTGGTCGCACCGGCTCGTTGCGCGAATCCTGAAAGCATCAGCCCCCATGTCACCAATGCCAGATGTCCTATCCATGGGGAGCCTGCCATCCAGACAAGGGAGTATCGTATGAAACTTTCCAGTAGTGAAACATGGTTGACGGGGAAACAGAATATCTCCCGTCGAGCTGATAATGTCCTCTGACAAACCAAATAGACACTAATCAATCACAGCCATGCGCCGAGGACGAGTTGGTTCAACCAGAAAGACGTCAATGCAAGGCTATTGTCGGTTTTACTACACGATTTAACGTACCTATATCGGAGGCACCAACTCCTACTCTCGGCTTTTCCCCATCTCTAGTGGACCGTGTAGGCCTAAGATTAACCAGTATGGCAGCGTCCAAAGTAGTCTGGGCCAGCAAGGCGGGAGAGGACCCCCGCCATGGGTGGGCTTCTGAGCATATTTGCGGTCATTGAGCTCCACAATAAGCGGGATGTGATTGATCCTTTTAGATGATGCAGTTTTCACCATGGGTTTGGGCACGGGCTACCCCTCCACCGCGGAGATAGGAGCCGGACCTGCTCTAAATCATGTGAACTAAGCCGACAGAGCTGTGGCTAGAGAGACGCTGAGGGACGCATACCACTCAAGATGGTCTTTTAAGATGTTATATCCTCTCAGTCGGACCTTTGCCAGGAGCAGCCTTGACAGGGGTATGAAAGGCAATAACCATGATGAGAATGAGCGTAGGATTATTGGTGAATACAAAAGGACACATAGGATGGAAGGAATGAATCCAAGGACCGTGACAAGCCGAGGGCAGCAGCGTCATCAGTGTCAGCCG